AGTGAGTTTTTTGCAACTCAATTCTATGAAAATAAATATAGGAACTTCCATCTGGGCAGGAGTTTGAAAATGGCTCTTTAACTTGCCTAACAGAACTCTGACTTTGCTTTCTATACAAAGAGCAGCTACATGAGGATCATCCATCAATCTGCAACCCAGAATGCTGTGGTTTCAGGAGCAGACTTGGTTATGAATTCTCTCTGCTCTTCCTCTCATAAGCTCATCTGAGACATCTGACTCATGAGAGGAGCTCATTCCCCTTCTTCTCAAAGGTTACCTACACCACAGCAATCAGGCCACACAAACATTCCACTGCTAACCTGTTCTAGCACAGACATGCTTCCACACGTTTTTATTTTACCTTCTGTTTTAGAAAGAAACTGTTCCTACATTTTCTTATATTATGAGTAAAATGTGTTGTCTAGCCCATATTATTAAGTATCTCATATGTAATAATTTTTGAGATAAATTTCTCTTAGTGAGTTTGGGAAAATGAACTGCCCCATAAGCTACGAAACTATAATTCCTTAGATTCAATTATGAGAAATATATAATGCCAATGTGATTCTTTTTTGCCCTACCAAAAAATTCAGATGTAATTTTTGTTCTCATTTTACTACTTTTAATCTAATCATCACTATTTTCTTTACCCAACTACTTACATCATTATAATTTGTCTTAGAGGCATTTTTTTTTCTTTAGGCACTGGGGATTTTTTCTTTAGTACTCAGGGACACTCAACCACTAAGCTACATCCCCAACCTATTTTGTATTTTATTTAGAGACAGGGTCTCACTGAGTTGCTTAGCACCTCACTGTCATTGAGGGTGGCTTTGAACTCTCAGTCCTCCTGTCTCAGCCTCCCAAGCCACTGGGATTACAGGCATGTGCCACCTTGTCCAGCTTAAAGGCAAATTAAAAAAAATTTAAATCTCAACTTGCCTTAATTTTAAGTCTAACAATTAAATAATAATGTCATTTGCATAGTATTATGCACTTTAAGCATTTTAATTCCTCTATAGAAAAAAATAGGCACTGTATTTGGGAATACATTTAGCAGAGAGACACATGCAGGATTATTTAATGTGTTTGTTTTCATTTATTTAAAAACTTAAGACTCAGGGATATTCACTTCCCTATTTTATTAATTTCATATACTTCTCTCTGTTTTTTGTTTGTTTTGCTTCTGTATTAGGGATTTAACCCAGGGGTGCTTTACCACTGAACTACATCCCCAGTTATTTTTTGTTTGTTTGTTTGTTTGTTTTTTAGACAGGTCTTACTAAGTTGCTTAGGATTTTGCTACATTGTTCAGGTTGGCTTCAAACTTATGATCCTCCTGCCTCAGCTTCCTGAGTTGCTGAGATTACAGGTATGTACCACAGCACCTGGCAGTGATTTAATTACTTGAATCTGAATTAAAATCACCAAGCAAAATTCACATAGCAGATGAAAGAGAGAGAGAGAGAGAGAGAGAGAGAGAGAGAGACACTCTGTCGGAGTTCTCCCAAATAGTTTCTAACCCCATATCAAAGAAATGACTCCTGAATAAATATATTTTCTGCCTGAATGTAAGCAAAATTCAAAGGAGGAAAATTTTTGATTACAAAAAGGAATTTATTTTTAAGAAATGATTAAGATGCAAGAGATTATCAAGTCACTATTAAAAAGAATTGCATTTTTAATATATTGCTATATCAGTTTGCAAATAGAAAGATGATAAAGGACATCACATATTTCTTGGCTTTATGAAGCAATCTTTTCTCTGATCCTCTACTAGGAATCAAAGGACATGTCATAATTTTGTTCAAGCCCCCACCAAGAATCTGTTTCCTAACTTCTTTCCATCTCTATTTCTCTTGTCTTCTATAAAAAGTGATGTCTATTAGAATTTCGGAGAAAGCTGAATGCAGACAACTAAGCCATGTGGTTTTGTGGCCTGGTCCTCTATTCACTCTCTGAGGGGTGAATTTTTTTTAATGGTGTTTTTTGGTTTATTTGCTTATCATACTTAACTTTATTTTCAATTCTAGAATCAGGAAACACTTTGGACCAAAAATGGTTCCAAACGCCCTGTTCAACTATACAAGCAGGTTATTTTTATAGCTAGAGAAAAAGAAGTGACATATAGAAAATAGAAGTGAGGTACAGAGGCAACCTGATTGTTTACAGCTTTTGTCTGTCTTATTTGAACATGATTAGAACAGATGGCTGGCTGTAATTGGCTGAGATTCAATACTTGTTCTAAGAGTGTTAGTCTCTTTACATATCAAGTTAGATTATAGTTAACTATGTATGGAGAAACCTCTAGGTCAAACTTAAAATGTGTACAGAGGCAGCTTTGAACCAAACTTAACAAGATGAAGAGCAATTTTTTATCATCATCAAAAGTCCTTGTCTTCCCCCATGATGAGAAAATATTTTTTTTCTGGATTTCTCCACACTCATGTACAAACTGCTAGCCTCCTAAAGCAGAAAAGTGTACGAACTAAATATAGAGATATTTGTTTTCACTTTCCCCCACAAATATTTTGCTCTTATTACACAGATGAGCAAAAGATGGACTCTTCTGTGTTTGTCCCTAAGTTGTTAATTTCTTCACTTTAGGCAGAGACCTATTAGCTTAAAAGCCTGCTGAAACCAAACCCCAAATTTCACATATCCACATATTGTAGAGAGAACTCAAACAAGCAAATTTATAGGCATTTAGAGCCTAAAATATCCTATGAAACTTGCACAAATGGACCGTGCAATCTAACCCTGAGCAGAGGAGATGTTGTTAAAGGAAGATATTGATGATATAGAGCCTTGCAAATGTGAGGCCTCAAGCTGCGATTCCCTTTGAAGATCTCAGATTCAGAGACTCCCCGGGGGCCGTTTCCATCTTTGTCTTAGCTATGGTTTTCACTGGATTACGGTGGCAGTAATTCCCAGTTCCAGGTTTGCCATGGCTTGTCTGGATGAGAACTCTTGTAGGTGATAGTTCTAATCAGTAGTGACCATCCACCTACAGTGAACCTTGCTTTTGTTCTTGCCTCCCATGACCCTATGTCTTAAGGAGGCTGACCTGCTTGTGCAAGCTCAACTAAAGAAAGAAGAAGTCAGGCCTCATTTTTCTGCTCATAGCAAAAATTCCAGACCTAGACCTGAGATTTTTGCTCTTCTTATTCCTGGATTCCTGCTTAACTTTTGGACCTGTAACTGATTCAAATTTTCTGATTTAAACACTGAGCTCCTTTTCTTAGATATATACTGTAGAGTAGGCTCTCTGGTTATCTCTTATTTCTATAGTTACAAAGTGACTACTTTGTACAATGTCCCATAGGTTTGCCCACTCTTCTTTGAGCCCCAAAGCTCTAACAGCTTTTTAAAGACAGCCTTCAAATCCTCTTATGAATGCTAATTCCCATGTCTTTGGGGAGCCTGCTCCTAGTTAGAAAGGGATATCCTCAGAGCTGCCACCCACACTTTCTCCTGCTCTTTTCTGAGTCAAAGTCTAAGCCTATTCTCATCACAAAAGAGCCATCAGAATATTTGAGAATGATCTCCCTGGAGAAGTTGTGTGGAGCCCATTGCTCCGGATATACTATTCAGATATGAAGGCAACTTGAACTCAAATTATTTATCAGTTTGCTTGCTCATGCAAGGCATTCATTCATCCAAATTGAATTACAGGAACACCCTAGGAATACCCTTAATTATTTCGTATTTTCTTAACCTGGATAAGTTAATTGAACTCTAATGTTCAAACAGGACACCACTTATACTGATGATATTAGGCATTTCACATAGATGGTTCCCTCTACAATGGTCTCCTTTCAGTTCCTCATATACACCAAAACATGTGGACAGGAATTACCAGGTATTACATGATCTGGCTTCTGCTCACTTCTCCATCCCCATCTTTTCTCACTTTCCTTCTCAGTCCATCTACACTAACTTCTTTCTATTCCTCAAATAGTCTCACTGGCATCGAGGATTCTTTAGTTGTTTTTGCTTTCGCCTGACATGATTTAGCCCCTGCTCTTCTTCCTCCCCCAGGTCTTAGTTCCCTTAACAACATTTCCTCTGCTCAGGGTTAGATTGCATGGTCCATTTGTGCATTTATATCATGGGAAACTGCAGGGTATCATGATGTACAGGTAATTAAAATAGCATTTGTTTCACATTTTCAAAATATTATCTTGGTTACACTTCCTTACCTGATAGTCTCTGTCTGTAGATTGCAAGCTCTGTGAGGTCAGAGGCTGTGTCAACATAGCAAATGGGCAATACGCATTTGTTAAATGAATACCTAATCAAACTATGATTTTCTAATAAATCCCCTCAATGAAATGTCTCACTTCCACTTAGATTGGTTACACCATGGACATATTTACATTATTTTGTGAATATAAAAATTACACCTGGTGTCATTGTCTCCCCACATCAGCCTACCACTGGGCTTTACCTGTTTGAAAATTGAGAAGTAAAATGAAGTTGCCTTTGTATTAGAGTTAAATAATCCTTTAAAATAAGGAAAAAAGCTCAGACAACAAAAATACCAATTTGTTCATGCTGGAAGCCTGAAGGCTTCCACTGAGAGGTACTTAAAAAGACATTCCATTCTTTAATCTTCATGTTTGCAAATGTTGACTCTGACAGTTTGCAGGCCAAAACACAGAAACCTCAACATTGGCAGAGAATGTTATCTGGAAGAGAACGTCTGACCAAATATTCAATTATCTCATTGCCAGGAAGTGTCTTCTCTATCAGTCACTTTTGTTATGTTTGAGAGGATTTTCCTAACAGTCTGGTTTTTCTTCTTAACGGAATTTTAAAAACCAATGTTTTTGAGAGAAATGGCACCATTGTGAAGATTTGCATTGTCTTTCTCTGACCAAACCATCCTCATTTTTGCTAAATCACCCACAATGGTATGTTCTGCTTTTTTCTCCAATTGAAATGTGTTTATGTATCTTACCAAAATAGAAACAGTCACTGTAATCAGTTCCCTCAGAAAGGCAGGAAGCATTGGCTCTTCCTTTATAATAGGATGTTGGTTCATGGGAACAAGTACCACAGTAAGTCCTGACCAAAATGCAGGGAGAACTGATTCTTTTTATTAGATTATTGTAACAAACCAGGTCCTACTACCATAGAAGTTTCAGTAACTGTTAAGTAAAACACTCAGTTTTTGTAGAAGTCTTAAGTTCATCTAATCTAATGAATGGATTGTTAATCAAACTTTTGAAGAGGTACCGTTTCAACCTTAAACTTTTAATGATTATTTTATTAATTCATTAACTTCAAAAATCCATATTACCTTTCAAATAGTTTTATAATTAACGCAGGCAAATGCCCAAGAAAATACACTAATCTTATTCAACATCTTCAAATCTTCAAATGTTGTCCTGAGATCTAAGAGTAGGACATTCAAACCATAGATCCTAAAATTATCAGATCAGTTCTTTGATGCTGGAACATGTTGACCTTAAGAGACATTGTAGTGAATTGAGAGTAGGGGGAGAAAATGTTTGGTGAAATATCAAGACTAGACACATAGGAGCAAATTACAGAAAGGAAGAAGTATTAAGGATGAGGAAGAGCTGAGCCCCAGCCTATCTTAGGATGTCAACCAAGAAGAGCTTTGGAACATGACCTCATTGCATCCTGGAGTTGTTAGAGCAACTGGGCAAAGGATGGTGAGCCCCAGGCATGGTAAGTTCTGCTTATCGTTCTAAGCAAAATTATCTCCTTTCTTACTTGTTGTACATGTCTATCACAAGTATTATCTAGTAATTCATCTGTCTTTTTAAGCTTCTTGAGGCAAGCATTGTGTCTTATAGCCACCCATGCCACCACTCATCAGTGCCTGGCATGGAGTAATATGCTTAAAAAGGTGTGTTAAATAAATGAATACATGAGTTTTTACAATACTTGAGTCACAATACCTGAAGTTCAGTGTTAACAAATGAGGTAAGTGTATCTTCAAATATAGTTCAGTTCCTGTTATTTAAATCATAAACAATATACAATTTGTTACTTGATTAATGCTTCTAAATAAACACATTGAAAAACACTAATTCAAGAACAGCAAATGCAAAATAATGTTCCCTTATTTGGAGAATGATTTTCAAACGGAACAATACTCAGCATTTTGGGGGGAGGAGAGTGGGGGGTTGTTATGGGGGATTGAACCCGGGGCACTTTGCCACTAAAACATATCACCCAACACTCAGCATTTTTAATTGCTCAGTTTGGGACTAGTTCTGCTTTCTTATCTTTGCTAACCTCACATTTGTTGATGGCACACACTCTGTAGTCATCCCAGAGCATTAAATTCACTTTTAAGCAAAATGTGATGCCTCCCCTCTGACAATTTTCTATCCCAGTTTCTCCCACAACCAGCTCCACCATGCTCATGAATATTGTCTTTCACCTTTACTGTTTGACGAAACATTAATAATAACGCCACTATTGATTGGCCTTTATAATTCATGAAACATGACAAGAAATGGTAGAGTATTTAATTTTATAGCAATATTTGAAAATAACTGAAGTTTAGAAAACTTAGATAAATTGCCCATGTCAAAGTTACTGCCACTGTTATGTACACAGAACTCAAAAGAGGGAGAAACAGATGTAGTATTGGCCAGTGATGGCACATTGGTAATTGTCAACTCCACAGGAATACATGAGATACCTAACTCAGGAAGAGCACATGGAACAAGTGTAAAGGGTGCCAAATCCTGGGTGAATAAGAATGGGAAGGGTCAGGATGAAGAACCAGAGAGTGAGAGCAACCGGAAAGTAACATTAAGATTTTAAAAACCAGATACCAGCTCAAGAGGTGAATCTTTACCCTCCTTCTGCTAATCCTTCTTCTAAGAGGATGGACTTTCCTTTTCTTTCTTATCTGTTTTTCTCAACTCCTATACAAAATATGCCATTTATAAAAACTGAAGCTGAAGAAGGCATTCATATTTTTTTAAAGTTTTCTCTCTTTTTTTTCATTTGTTGATGGACCTTTATTTTATTTATATATGGTGCTGAGAATTGAACCTAGGGCCTCACACATGCTAGACAAGCTCTCTACCACTGAGCTACAGCCCCAGCCCATGTTGTTTTTTAAATCCAACATTACATGCTGAGAGAATATTTCATTTTTATTTCATGTTGTCTTAGGTCAATGTGCAAGTTATTGGGCTACTCACAAGTCTGAGTGACATTCCTGAGAACTTACTGTAAAACAAAGAATCTTACTGTAGACATAGTGACAATGTGGAAATCCTTTGTGGTTTGACTGGGTTGCTAATCAGAATCTGCAATTTTGAAAATTTTCTTTTGGAATTGTCATTATGTATACATAATTAAAAGTCATTTCAATCAGCTTGCATTTTTGAATGAAATGAAAAATTATATTTTCAAATACCCTTCCAAAACTACATTCAACTTTTTAAATTATGAATTTTCTCATTCATTTAATATTTTATCTGATTAAAATTCTGAGTAATTCATATATAGGCTAATTTTAAATTGACTTATTTTACATTTTTGAGGAAATAATTTAAGAGTATACACACAATTTCAAAGGTAATTTTTATGTGAGGGTATAAACATTATAAAAATTTGGAGTGAATCTATACCTTTGGGAAGATTTCCATGGCAAGGTAGAATCCATCCCTCATGGTCTCCCTCATGCTGCTGATCATTCTTACATATTCCCTAAAGCAGAACCTCTACCTGCTAAGAATACCTGCTAAGTTAGGTCTGGGTCCTTTCTTTATTGGAAAGCAATAATAGTGCTTTCCAGTGAAAATATATAGTAATTCAGATAAATTCTAACTAGTCCTGATTATATTACTTATTGTATTTCATTACAATTTTGTTTATTTTACTTTTATCTTTTAAAGTATAAAATAATTTTATTCCCATGAAAATTGCAGAGGAATGAATTTATTTCTCCAGTGTTAGTCTATAATGCTTTCTTTTGTTTCTTATCAGTGGTTGTTTCAAAAGAAACAATTTTCAAAAGCCATAAAAGTTCTTCCACATAGTTGAGGTAAAATAAAGAAAAAATTCCTAGGCAGCATTTTTAAAGCCTGGTGTGAGATATTTTGTCTACTTAAAACTAAGAAACCGCAAAAGTAAAAAAGAAAAAAATATATAAAGTTCTTCTTAGTACACACCGCCAACATGGTTCAGGTGGCTCATGGAGGTTGGCTGAGTGAGGAAGAAGAACTCTTTTGAGGGTAATGCCAGAAAGCTGGTAGAAACTGTAAATGTTATTGATCAGAATAGGACTTTTGTGATTGGATCTTTCACTAATGCAAGGAGACAGGTCATGCCTTTCAAACACATGCAGCTCTCTGACTCCATCAAGTTCCTATACAGGACCTGCCGGATGTACATCCCACTTCATCTGATCAGGACAAGAAGGGTGGCCACAAGATAGGTCAAGAAGATTAAAGCTAGAGAGAGGAAAGTCAAAATTACAGATTTTGATCACCTTAAAGCCTAGAAGACAAAGAAAATAAGAAATAAAATAATCAACAATGAAACTAGGAAACTTCGAAGGGCCACTACTCTCCTGAAAGCTTTTCCCAAAAAAGTACCTGTCACTAGGTTGCAGCTATAGCTGCTGTTAAAACTAGAATTCCAGCAAAAGAGATGACCCCTCCTTGCAAGAAGGATCCAGCCAGAAGTTTCTGGCCAAAAAGTCACAGGCCAGCATGCAGCACCTCTTCTGATAGCTCAGAAGGATCAGAAAACTCCAGCCCAGAGGGCACCTTACCCTAAGGCACCTGGAAAGAAAGAAAGAAAGAAACAAAGAAAGAAAGAAAGAAAGAGAGAGAGAGAGAAAGAGAGAAAGAGAGAAAGGGAGAAAGGGGGAGGGAAGGAGGGAGGGAGGGAGAGAGAGAGAAAGAAAGAGGAAAGAAAGAAAGAAAGAAAGAGGGAGGGAGTTATCAAAGTAACAAAGGTTCTTTTTGACCAAAAAAAATTATATTTACATTTTGCATTAATTCTCTGTATCTGTTAATTATTCTTTTTATTAACATTTATTATTTATTATGTATCGATATGTAATTGTTTAACAGGATGTTACTATAAGTTAAATGAACTTAACTTTCCTTTGTCCTATTCAGAGTACTTGCCTAGAAATGACTTCTCTAAATTTGCAATTTCCAGAGTCTGCACTGATTCTGTTCATCTTTTATAGGATGGTCTGATGCTCATAATTTTTCAGTCAAGCTGCATACTTATTCATACTACAAACCTGTGTTGAGAACTTACTTCTCTATCTGGCCAGGTACTGTGTTAGATACATAATCCAGAAATGCACTCTACCTTGCGCTGGAAATCCCCTCTCCTCCCCCACAGATCCCGGCTCCATGTGTGAGGGTTCATCTATCTGGTCTTATCCCTGAGGACTCAACTTAAGTGTCCCCATGAGTGGTCCTGTGCACTGTCCCCACCAAGCTGTAGCAAGTCTTCTTCTCAACAGTACACACTTTGTGTATCTCTAATAAAGTCATCATTGCTTCATGTAGAATCCATTTTCCTGATGGGATCCTTCACCCAAATGTAAGCTGTTCAGGGCAGAAGGCTTCTGGACAGCAATTGGAGAACAATTCAGGTGTCAATATAGCTGGATTTTCAGGTGCCAAGGAAAAGGGGATGGGCCTATTCTCTCTGACTATCTAAAGATTGCATTTTAATCCTAAATTTAAATTGCTTCAAACTTTGAAAAAAATTATATCTAAGAGTTTAAAGTCACAATTCCTTATTTTTTTAATTTCATGAGGAGAAATTGCCTCTGAAGAGTTCTTTAACTTTGGGAAAGGAAATGTTTAATCAGCAAAAATTTAAACAGATATTTCTGAGGAGGAAGTTACTTGAGGAAGCAGAAGGGCAACCATGCATGTGCACTGAGCAGGAAGTAGGTAAACATCGGGCCTCTGAGTTAGATCTTGTAAAATCCAGGGACACAGTGATTTGGGAGGGGTTCCTAGAGATATTTACTAGTAATGAAGGAGAGCCTGATGAGGAGCCTATCTTCTTCCTAATTATATTACTTTTAATGCAAAACAACAAATAGAAAGCAGATTTCTCAAACACCCCAAAAGCTGAACTGCCTGGGGAAAATGATGCATCTGCAAATCAGCCTGGACTAGTTCTCAAATACTTTGCACAAATTAATAAATTAAAGTAGCGGCCAAGCAGGACATAGCAGGTGAGAAAAAAAATACGCAGAAACAGCCAGGAGATAAGTTCCTGATAAAAGCATTCTTTTCAAAGAACAGCAAGAACCCAGACTGGAAGGTTGGTGTTGTCAATTTAAGTCTGATTCCTCTCAAGAAAAGATGTGATGAACAGATAACAGTAATTTTAATTAGCACTTTGGTTGTTCATAAAGTATTTCAAGACATTTCAAAGCAGTTCTTTTAAACCTCTTAAATGCTTATACATCCTGTTAATTTATGTTATAAAAAGGATGACTTATTAAGCAAATATTGACATCAATCCAGACGATTATGGCAAACTTTGAAATGCTGGAGTCCAAACCAATAGATTTTATTTGTCCACACTACTAATTAAGGATTTGAAGCTAAATTTAAAAGCAAAAACCTATTACTCTTCATATGATGTTTCATTAGTTATTAAGGATTTATGCATTGTTACACATTAAAAACATATATACATTGCATTTGAAACAAAAAGAAAACTTTAAAGAGACTATAAAGCATGATGAACCTCCTTGGTTAATAAGCAAGGTACTCCCTGTTCACAAACATTCAAGCCCAGGAGAGTCAGTCATGAGCAGGTCACCAAAGGCTCTGACTCCTTGGGTCAGAGCCTGAGAATCCCAACTCTGGCTAGGAACCAAAACAGAACTTTATAGACATATACAGAAACATAAACAAACACACAAACAAACCCCAAGACATTGTGAACTAGAAGTTTGAGGTAGAGTTCTATAGACAACAGACACAAAACCTGGGTGACACTCTCCCAAAACTTAACGCTAGAGCATTTGGTATGCTTTGCTGATGACCTAATCTAAGCTACAGCAATGTCTCTAAATTAAGAATTAGTGTGTTAGTAAGTATAAACTTATAGAATTATTCTTGAACCCCGCTTCTTAAGTCAGACCTTGCAGGGTACTTTGACTTTTGCATTTGTTAAAAGCAATATTGGATGTTGTGTTATTTCTGCCTACTCTAAATGTGTTCACCACTTTTTAAGTGGGAAGCATGTAGCAGAAAGGTTAGAACTTTTCCCTACATCAGACAAAAAATAAATGACAATTTATAATATAATTCAATTCTCTTCAGTGGATAACTAGAAAATAATAGCATTCATTTGGCTACCATTCTTGGGCATATTTTAAAATTCTTTACATGACTTCTTATGTTTATTTGATTTTTCCAGCCCATAATGTTGGTACAATTTTCATTTTACATATGAGGAAATGAAGGACAAAGTGACTTTGTGATCTCTCCAAGATCACACATGGCTAGTAAATATGGAGGCAGAAATGAAATTTAGTCAACCTGACTCCAAAGTCTTAACAATAACATGCTGTTTATTTCTCTACCATCTTTCCTATAATAATAATTTGTGGTATTTTGTCTGTCAGATGCTATAAATGACCTAATTGTAGAGTTAATCCTCCTCTAGACTCACATGAAAAACAAAATTCCTAGGGTAACCTTTTGGTCCAACAATCTGTAACCAAGGTCTTCCCAGAGGAGGTCCTTCCCTCACCCACAATTCCTATCTTGACTTAGTGCCTCTTGGTTCAGGACCTCAGTGCTCTAAGACTTCCTATCTCCATTAGCACTCACAGAATTTTACTCAGGCCTTTTCTCCATGTACACAGTCATTTGTTTTACAGAAAAAATCAAAATGTATTTCAGCCACCCATCTGTTGCTTAAATCCCTTCTACAATATTCTTATCAAATGGTCTGGAAATTTGAAATCTCCATGGTAGCTCATTTCATCTTTGGATACCTTTAAATCTAACTGTAGTTTTCTTTAGTTATAACTTGTAAACTTAATCTGGTTGTTGTTATTTTGAGCACTTAAAAATGATGGAATTTGTCTCTAGAAAAAAAATGCAGACATGTGCAAAATGTTTCATAAACAATTTCTGAGGATTGCAGATACCTTAAAGCCTACGAATGGTCTGTGGACCTTGGGCTGAGAAACTTCCAGTAATAGCTCCTCAGATGCTGTAAGGAAATGCTTTTCTCTTCTATATTTGTGCATTGTGTCCAAGTTCGTGGACTTCAGTTCTCGCCCCACTGAATTACCTCTGTTTAGATTTCAGCCACTTATTTCAGCCATGGAGATCTTTCCTGAAATCTGATTCTATGATCTAATCTATTTACTTTCCTTCCTTAAAGTTGCTTTAGGGCTTTATCAGCATGCTCTAGGGCTTTTGCCATAGCCACTGGCAAAGATATGGACCAGGAAATGGCTAGGAACAGAACACTGCTGTTAGCAGCTAGCAACCAGTTTCCTAAAGGATATATTTATTACTCTGGGTAAGTGGGATGTGCCACTACATTTTTTTGGCAAAGATCATACAATGAAAATAAAGTGAATACCAAGGAAGTGTGCATAACAAACAGAATATAATCATATACAGTTAACCTTATCCCCTTTAGAGAACTGCTTTTTTTTTTTTTCTGATTTCTTCTGTTGGGTTAGTTAAGGAATTGGACTAACAACACAGGGAATTTGAAAACACATGAGAGCCACATGATTGAAAGGCTAAGTACTGATTGCAACATTTCCTTTTATAGTTTAGTGTATGACCTTAGGAAACCCACACATGTTCCAGGTCTAGAGACTTAAAAAATTATAATCCTCCTAAATAAATAGTGTGGCTACCCAATGGCAAGCTCTTTGGCTTAAAGAATTCTCATGGCCACTAACTTAAATGCCATGTTTAGTATACATTTTTAAAAAGAGTTTAATTTGCTTATTTGCTTGCTTGTTTTTATTTTCTGCAGGGGAGGGGGCAAGGACAGTATCAGAGATTGGACCCAGGAGCACTTAACCACTGAGCCCCATCTCCAGCCCTTTTTATTTTTTATTTTGAGATAGGTTCTGGCTAAATTGCTTATGGCCTCTTTAAGTGTCTGAGGCTGGCTTTGAATTTATAATCCTCCTGCCTTCCACACTGTTGGGATTACAAGTGTGCGTCACCATGCTCAGAATAGTTTCTTTGCTTTTAAGAAAACATTTTCATGTTTTAAAGTAGCTTTTACTTCTGGTATTCTAGAGTTTTGTGGACAGTTCACCTTGACCGTGTTCAGGTACTTGGTAGATTTTATAAATCAGGTCACATGCTTCTGGTGTTTCAGAACTAAGAATTGCAACGAAGCTAGTATTGTACAGCAGAAAAAAATTGAAAAAGATCAGTCAGAGGCTTCTAGGTCTGTTATTAACTACATTAGTGATCATGAACAATTAAACCACCCTTTCTGGGGCTCTTGTCACAAGGAAAAGAGGGAGGGAGCTAGGTTACCTCTCTGAGATCTCCTTTAATTTTCAAAACTCTGTAGTTCTAATTTTAATAAATTAAAAGGACACACTAAACCATAAGAAATAATAAATAGTATCTGGATTCCTTTCTGTGCTTTAAACTTCAAGACTAAAATATTATTTTAATACACAAGTGCTATCATACAGCATATTTTCACCCGATTCGCAATTCATAGTAGATCACAGGACATAATCCCTCTAATCCAGTGTTTCCTCAATGTGGTTTTACATTGGAAACACCAAGGGAATTTTAAAACTGCTTTAGCCTAGATCTTGCCACCAAATATTCTGATTTAATTGATGAGAGGTGAGCCAGATGGACCAGAAAGAGTACTATAACTTCTCTAGGACCAAACAACTGCTCTAACCCATAGTTCTCCATTCTGTGCATCCAGGAGCCACCTGGGAGCTTTTCAGACCTGCCAATGCCTAGGCTCACCTCCAGATTCTGATATAATTGGCCTGTGGGACCTAGGTGTTGATAAGTTTTCAAACTCTCCTGGTGACTGTGACGTGCACTCAGGGTTGAGAACCACTCCTTTAATTGCTACCTCGCTAGTTCTATCTAGTTGATCATCTGACCTCTTATTCCAGCCCACACTGGCCACTCATCAAATGAAAATCCTTGGACCTTATTACAAGGTGCAGCTCTGCCTCCATTACATCAACCGAGTGCCAACTTCCTGCTTTTTTTCTAGAATCATAACCCTCTTATCTTTTCAATTAACCAGCGCTCCATGTTCTGTGACTTAACTGGTCTTCTGGTCTCAAATGATTCTTTTCATAATGTCACCCCTTTCCTTACTACAACTTTTTGTCTGCTGCGATCATCCATTCACCCTAGTACTTTGCATCCTTTCGTCCACTACTCTTCTGCATCCTGGACTATCCTTATCATATTTTCTCTGCTAAGTCCAGCTGACTACTATTAAATGAAATCTAAAAGAGATATAAAGCTGAAAAAAATCTGCCCATTGTGATCATCAAACAGCCAAATTCTAAACATGTACAGCAAAGGAATTGGAAAACACACACACACACACACATACACACACACAATTTATAAAGTTGTGGAGTTTTTTTTTTGGGGGGGGGGCAGTACTGGGGATTGAACTCAGGGGCACTCAACTACTGAGTCACATCCCCAGCCTTATTTTGCCTTTTATTTAGAGACAGGGTCTCACTGAGTTACTTAGCATCTTGCTTTTGCTGAGCCTGGCTTTGAACTCTACATCCTCCTATCTCAGCCTCCTAAGCCACTGGGATTATATGCGTGAGCCTGGAAATTTACAAAGTTTTTATAGCAATAATATTACACATGTAAAAATGTTTATATTTTCTTCAATGTAACATTAGCTGTAGTTCCAGTCAGGTACCTTGACAAACATAAAGATCAATCTGAAAAAGAACAAGGCTGAGAACTGTGTATTATCTAGGGAATTAAGTAGTTACCAAAAGACTGGAACTTTATAATAGAAAAATGAAGGCCGAGGGTGCCGCAGTCTGGTTGGGCACAAAATAACCGAGCCACCACAAAACCTTGTAGATTCAAACAGCAACTCTTTATTCCAGAACTCTCACCGACACTCTACCCACACTTCCCGTGAACACCCTGCCTCCACTCGGCTCCGCGCACCAATCCTCTCAGAACCCCGCGAGAACTCAACGGGAACTCCAAAGGAGCGGGTGCCTGAGGCAGCAGGATACAACCTATACCCAGCAGGATCCACCCTAAACCTGGAGCCGCCCTATTCCCAGCAGGATCCACCCTAAACCTGGAGCCACCCTAATCCCTGAGCAGGTTCACCTTTCAACCCAAAATGCCATGCATCATTCCTACTTGGCTATGGCTCTCAGCACGAGGGTGAGTCATTTTACCATGATGATTAATATCATAATTTTGTTTCAAATAAGGAACATAGAAAGCATAAAATGTATTCTAGGAAAAATGAAAGACATTATTTCATAGTAATTATAAAACAAAACCCTAGGTAAAAATAAATGGATTCATTGAAGGCTTAGACAAATTTGATTATCAATTAAGGTATAATAAGTTTTGCAGAATGTAAAAAGAAATACTAACATCAGGGAAGAACTTTATAATTTAAAGCATTTTCATATGCATGTTTTTATTCAAATGGTTGGGGGGGGGGGCGGTTAGAGGTCTCCTGACTATATTCTGAACATTTTGAGGCCAGCATTGTCAATGTCAAGTTGCCATCAGTTTCTTCCTCCTTTAAGAGGCTATCTGAAATGTGATGCTATACAGACCAGACCTTTATTCTTAGTGGCATTTATATCCTTAATAACTAGAGGTAGGTTTATCATGAAGCTAATGAAGCTTTAAGCTTTAACCTCCTTTCTTACAAAGGTTCTTCCCAAAGCTCTAAGTGGGGCCCAGGCATTGGTTCCATATGCACATGTTTTTATCAAATAACAAAAGTAAATTATTAGGGCTGGGGTTGTAGCTCAGTGGTAGAGCGCTTGCCTTGCATTCATGAGGCCCTGGGTTCGATCCTTAGCACCACATAAAAAATAAATAAATAAAAATATTGTGTTTATCTACAACTAAAAAATTTTTTTAAATATATATTATTATAGTTTGTTGTGATTTCTTTTTCCATTCTAAATATTTACTTTTTCACTTGCTCTGTATTAGTAATTTTGCATTCTTTTTCTTTGGGATGGAATATGGACCTGCATATAACCCATTATTTCTAAATTACAGTGTCCTGCTAAACACTGCGAGACCAGTAACATCTCTCTTCTTTGTCTTTTACCTTCTCCATCAACCCTCAGCCTTTGAGGGTTAGCTCTTCCTGGCTCTCTCCACAACCTTTTTTCTCATTTCTGATGATCATCTCCTCACAGAGAATATTCTTTCCAAGGAAGACAGAGAACATCAGGTAAAGCTTTCCAATTATCCCCTTACTCTCTTCTACATTTTGTAATAACTGTACATATTCATGGGCTCCAATGTGGTGTGTTGATATTTGCAATAGATGTTCTGTGAAGATCCAATCTGTGTGTCACTTCCAATATTTATCCTTTCTTGGAATTACTCTCTGAATGTTCTTTCCCTGTACTATTTCCCCTCCTTTTCCTCAACCTAAGAGGAGTTGAAGAACTCAGTTACTATCTTGAAACTCCAACCTCCTCCTGCTGAGGACCAGCTCTCCCTTCTCTGTCCTCCCCGAAAGCTTGGTCCTCTCATTCCAGACACCCTCCCTCCTGTTCCTCAGGACCTTTATGCTGCCTTTGAGCACACTCAGCACTTTCAGCATAAATGGTCTCACTTAGTGGTTTCTCTCTTCTAAATTTCCATGTCTTTAACCAAAAGAAAAAATAAAGCAAATACTGAAAATGACTTTTATCCTGAGTTACTTTGGCACAAATACCCAGAGGGCAGGAAGAAGGTCTATGGCATTTGCACCTGGGCCAATCTTAAGAGCTTCCAATGCTGCCCCAGCTATAGAAGTTGCCAAAATAGACACTGGGATATATAAAAAAGAAGAAAAAAAAGAGCATCAGTTTTTCCTTCCACAAAGTGTGGTTTAGTGCACCTGGGGATGTGATCATCTGAGGAGGGTTCTGTTTGTACCCATGCATGGACCATAGTACCCATGTCAGAAGTGCCCCTCGCGGTCAATTTCAGGAGATCAACCATGAAGATTCAATTTTGATCACTCTACACTACTCACACAATTCAGTATAGGCAAAATTTTTATTTCACAGAGATTTCAATAATGCATATTTTGGCTGAAAAAACTGTCATACTTAGAAGTTTATCTAGATAATACACTTAAAAAGGCTCTGTTGGTCACCAAATATTTTAGTTATCATAGTTTTTCTAGATTAAGTCAATCTAAATGGTGATTCTGGGAAAATGTTTAAAATATGTTATAATGCTATGGTCTCTTAATTTTCTTCCCAGGAAAAAATACTTCTCACAGTTTAAATCTGATTTAAATAAAGATTTTAATAAAGAAGCACTTACTTGAGAGTCTCTGGGTAGGATCAGCATTGTGGTTGAATAGAAACACACAGAGTCTGCCAAGGGAAAAAAAATGAAAGGATTTGAACTTTGCCTTAGATTTTGGTCTAGGAATTTGCAGTACTTTAAAGTTACATATTTTGTTCAACCTACAAAAACCCACAATGTTTGTGGAAACCCAAGAAAGTCAGCTTCTTCTCACTGAATATTCTTAGTACAATAAAATATTAATTCTGTCTTAAAGTTGCATATTTTCACTTATTCAGTAACACACTGTGCTGATTTCCTGGGTGCAAGTTACTTAAGTTAAAAATAGATGGAATTATGAGCAAACACACAGCCCTAGATATCTCTTCACATGTAATTTGCTAGCTCCCCAGTATTCATCTGAGTATTAGTGTTCTGGGGGTTAAAAAACAGTGACATGTGAATAAGAACCATGACCTGTGAATTCCTGACAGTTCTAACAAAGAAACTTTTAAGTTAACAGTCCTAACAAAGAAACTTTTTAGTTAAATATATGTATCTTGATTTTCTTCTACCCACCACTACTACTGGACAATTATTTTCAATTTTGTATAGAGCACACTCCCTAAAAAATGCTGAATCACTATGATATGAGATATTTATGCAGTCTCATGCTTAGGATTACCCAACAAAGGAAGCTAGATAATGACCAGTGTTGAATTCAGCCTATTGCTAACACTGGCTATCTTCCACTCATCTCCCAGAATTTACATGGGGAAATGTGAATTCCCCATGGAAGATAGTAGAAAAAGAAAAAGGAGAAAACAAATAATGATGAAATACATTCTTCAGTTGAGTTTTATAAGCTTACATTGCCTCTGGCATGAGGAAACAACTGGCCTCATAAAGTGCAGGTCAGATTCCCTATCACATTAAACCAGGGCTTACAGTGTGTAACACACCTGTAGGGGACAGCCAGGATAACCAAGCTGAGGACAATAACCAACATGACAAATTGGTAAATATTTGTTCTAAAGGATTAGAAGCAATTCCATATGTTCTGTGTCTCTTTGTCACCCACTGTGAGTTCCCATCCTTTATTTCTCTTTCTCCCACTTAGCACATACGTGGGTTTTATGCATCAATAAATACATGACAGAAAGAAAGTGAATAATTTGGGATACAATGTGTCTAAACTTAGTTCTTTTTAAAAATATATATTTTTAGTTGTAGATGGACACAATATATTTATTTTATTTATTTATTTTATTTTTATATGGTGCTGAGGATCAAACCCACTGCTTCACAGGTGTGAGGCCAGTACTCTATCACTAAGCTACAACCTCAGCCCTAAATTAAATTCTTTTTTTTTTAATTTATTTTTTTGTAGTTGTAGATGGAGAGAATACCTTTATTTTGTTTATTTTTATTTGGTGCTAAGGATGGAACCCAGTACCTCACACATGCTAGACAAGCACTCTGCCACTGAGCTACAGCCCCAGCCCTCTAAATTTAATTCGTAAACACAAGAATTTTTTAAAATTTTGAATGGGGAGAATTCGCCAAAGGAGAGGCCCCCAAAGAAGACCTATCTTTAGTGCACCAAAAATAATTCATCCAACAAATATTTACTATCTTTTGCTTCTAAGGCACCTGAGGCTCCTGAGACTCAGTGATCAGAAGGACAGAGCGGGACACTGATCTCATGAAATTCACAGTCTAGTGGGAATGATAGTTTTTAAAGAAAAAAAAGAGCATATAAATGATATAATAATAAGTGTGATTACTGATAAAATGGAAATGCTTTGAAGAAGTAGAAACATGAAAGCCAGATCATGCAGGGTTTTGAGACCCATGACAAAGGTTTTCTGTTTTATCCTAAGAGAAATGAGAATATTATAAGATTTAAATTAGGGATATAATATAATTGAATTTTCATTTTTAAAAGACCCGTGATCTAGAAGTACACAAGATTGGAGGAGATGAGCAAAACAAAGTGTGATGAGAAAACAAAAGTCCAGTTGGGAGGCTACTGCTAAAGTTCAGACAAGAGGTGGTAGCAGCTGAACAAGAAGAGTAGCAGTGGACATATGGAGAGGTAGACAGATCCAAGATTCATCTTCAAAGTAGTATTGACAGGCATTTAAAAAAGAGACAACAGTTATGGGTAATATTAGCATTTCTGTCCTGAGCAGTTAGTAGGTGGTGGGGAGATTGAGAATTCCAGATAAAGAGTAGATTTCAGAAATAAGAAAATGAGTTCAAGTTCAGACACGTTAAAACTGATATACATAAAAGGCATTCAATAGGGGATACCAAATAAAAAGTTATGTGTGACTTCAGAACTTAGAGGAAGGTCTTTGGTGAAGAAACCAATCTGTAAGTCATCGTGTATACATAATGTATTTTTATAAACTGCAGGAATGGACAAGATTTCATAGAAAAAGAATGTGGAATGACAAATAAACAAGGGTCCAAGACTGATCTTTGAAGAACTCAAATTGCTAAGTAGAGGAAGATCTCCCAAAGCGGGATTAGGAGGATTGGCCGCATGGGGTAGAAGGAAAATTAGATTGTGTGTTATGTCTTACAGAAACCAGGGAAAGGAAATTTCAAATGGAGTGAATGATCACACAGGGAAATAAAGGAAAGGAAAGGAGAACAGAGAGTGTACATGGAATTTTGTGGGGTGAATGGCATTGAGATCTTAGAACAATGTGAACAGCATAATATTTTGGAGAGGGCTTAGTCCTGAAGGGAAGTGAGTTTATAGAGAACTCTTTCTAGAGTCCTGAGCATGGACAGGATTCTGAGGTTCTATCTTGGGTTATATAGCCTACATTTCTCCATTTGTGAAATGAGGATGTGAATATAATCATACTCAGAAAACAACTTGAGAAGTG